GCTGAATTTGACTCTTTGTATACCTCTTTATTAAGCTAGTATTACTCCTTAAAATATTAATTAACTGTGAAGTTTTGAGTCATAGTAACAAGCACCAGAGCTCTGGATTTTGCTATAAATAATAAAGGTCCATGCATCTTCTGTATTACTTGTGCTCCAAATTCCACTGACAGACTTTGCATATTTGCATGTATGGACTCCATTTTCGCACCTGCAGCCATGTTCCCCATTTCTCTTATTATTTTCTTCTTATCTTTGCCTTCTGTTCTTCATTCTTTCAACTTTGTAAAGCTGCTACTCCCTTTGTCCGCAATAGGCCCCGAGTCTTCTGCTTTTGATGCTGCTGGTGCTGGCCCTTATACTGGTGTTGCCGATGGTAGATTTCTCAAATATGTCAGTCCGGTTGTTGGTTTTGTAGATTATGGTGTCACTTCACCCAACAGGTAATCAAAACCACAGTATATATTTTTATCATATATTCATGTTTATATATGTATATATAGTAAACCTGTTGTGCTGAGGATTGGGTTTGGATCATTTGATCAAAATTTAATTTAAGTGTTGTGGGATTCTTCTAGCAAGCTTAATAACTCTTGTTATTTATATTAACTTTATAACACTAATTATATTCATAATTACCCAGCTTTTTCACTAAGAAATAGTTAATAAAAAACTTCATAAAACTTATCCCTCTTTACACTTGTGTTGTAATGCGTTACTAAACTGAATGAATCTTTCCTTTGAAGTTGCAATGAAATCCCTTTCATGATAACTTGATTAATTTAGCCCCCATTCAGCCATTGACATTCACAACATTTAATCCTTTCATTTCCATCAACAACTTTTACAGAGTATAAATTTTTGTTAACCTTAACCATGCTTCAGGTCCAAGGCACTGTGTGTTGGCGACAGCATCCCAGCTCTGGGACCTACATGTGGGAGGCCACTAGGTTTGGGATTCAGCAACTTAACAGGAGACCTCTACATTGCTGATGCTTATCTCGGCCTTCTGGTGTTGCCGAAAAATCAGAAAATTGCAACACAACTTGCCACAAGTGCAAACCGGGTACCCTTTCGCTCTCCCGATGGATTGGACGTTGATCCAGTAACTGGAGATGTGTATTTTACAGATGCTAGTGCTGTTTACCGAATAAGGCATATTTCTCGTATTTAGTTATGGTTTTTACAATCAACTGAAGAACAAAAGTTGAAATACTCTCTTATTTTGCAGTCAAATTCTACTTGCAATTGCCAAAAACGATTCAACAGGAAGATTGTTAAAGTATGACATTAAAACCAAACAGGTTACTGTGTTACTTAAGGGGCTTTCAGGTCCTGCGGGGACTGCTGTCAGTCCTGATGGCACGTTCGTTCTTGTGACTGAATTTATTGGGAAAAGAATTCAGAAGTATTGGCTTAAAGGTCCAAAAGCTAACACAGCTGAAGTTCTCATCACCTTCAAAGGGAGGCCAGACAACATTAAGAGGAATCCGGGCGGAGATTTTTGGGTGGCGGTGAACCAAGAAACAATTATTCCACTAGTTATGAAGCCTGAGGGAACAAGACTCGATGCAAATGGAACTGTTAAGGAATCACGGCCGATAGATCTCCAATACGAAACTACATTGGTCAGTGAAGTTCAGGAGTTCTCTGGAGCCCTTTACATAGGATCAATGTATACCAATTTCATTGGCGTGTACAAGTAGAAGGGGTCATGACTGGCATGTATTGGCATACTATTTAATAAGGTTTTCAATAATATTATCTCAGGATGGTCTTGTTTACAGGCCTCAGAAAAAAACCGATAATAATAATAATAATAGTCACGATTTTTGCTGCTGATAGATTCATCAAAATTAAGTTGTAATATAACCTCTTACTTCAAATTAATTTAAACCCTCTCTGCTCTAGTTCATTGTATATCTTCTGTTCTTCTAGCTTTCAAATATCATTCATTATTTTACGAAGTTTGGATGCAGTTCTTACCATCTCTGCTTGAAGCGGTTGTTGAGAATATGTTGTATCAACGACAGTACAAACTGTGCAGTAATCAATTAACATTTTATTCATCAGCAAACTTCAGCAGATATTATCAAGAAAGTTGACCAAGTAAAGCTAGTACAGAGACTTGCATCTCTAAAGGTTGAATTTTATATATAGTATTCAGTAGGCATCATAGCTGTCTCAGCACATGAATTACAAGTTCACCAGCTTAAAGGTGAGTTTTGGATAACAATTAATGCAGTAGCAGCACCTTCAGGACAAAGGCTGTAGAGAAGATGGCAGGATTTTGCGGACAGTGACCTTGAACTATGTACGATGAGTGTACTTACACATTCATTACCCAAGTTCAAGAATTGTGAGTGGCAACTCTATCCGTTATCAAACCCTTTCAGTTCCTTCAAAAAAAGTGCTCATTCTGATAAATTTTAAACTCCAAGTAACCACTTAAAAACTTAAACAAGCCGTTAAGTCCTCACTCTAGTATTAAACTCATTGACTGTTTTGTAATTCCATAGATGAGTTGTGACTTCGCATAGTAATAAGTAAAATACCAGGAAAATTTTAAAATTTCTTCAGACTTCAGTGCCAGAAGTTTCAGCTAGTTTGTCTTCTATTGGAAGGTTGTGAGTGTGGTACCTAGAGTTATGAAGCCAGCCGTGAGCAATATGTTATTGTAAATTCTTCGTGAAAAGGTTGGATTTCTAAATTGATTCAATCAAGTCTTTCAAGCTGCACCATAACTAAACAAGTGCTCACCGAACTCCATCTCATGATAACTATAGGCTGAGAGCCTGAGAAGATATTCCAAGTCCCAACCGGATTTCCAAACTTCAGCCACATTTTAAGGTGCACTTTTTAGAAAAGTATTAAAATTGCATTGACCACATTCATATAGCTGACCAAAACTTGTGGTTTGTTCCATACACAGAAAGGATTGTTTCTTTCTTGATTCTGGGACTAATGAAGGATGGTTCGGTGGTTCCCTGCTTGAATTCAGATCGTTCCCTTTGTCTCATCCAAAGATCAGTCCACATGCCACTTAAAACTTGGAATGCCTAAATACCAGCACGGATATCCATGAATTCACATTCAGAAAAAAAAAATGGCTTTACTCATTTTCTTCAAAACTCTGGCCATGCTTTGCATATTGGTTTCTGTCTCATCTTTGCCTTCTATAGTCCTTTCGGTCCCATCCTTCACCAGGATACCACTTCCACCGTCAGTCAGTCGTGGGTGCAGAATCATTTTTCTTCGAGTTGCGCGGTGGAACATTCTATACAGGAGTTAAGGATGGTAGAATAATAAGATACGATCCTCTAACAACTACTTTCACAGATTTTGCCTTCACCTCAGCAAGGAGTATCATATCCAACTCACAGAATTATTATTATTATAATTTTTTTCTTTTTTTCTTTTTACATTAGGAACTTCATGTTGGAGAAGTATTCACATTTGTAATTGATTCAGGTCCAAGTTTGTATGTGATGGCAACACTAATCTAGCACTGGGGTACAGATGTGGAAGGCCATTAGGCTTAACTTTCTAGTATAAAACAAGAGATCTGTACATCACCGATGCTTTGCTTGGCCTCTTTGTAGCAGGAACTAACGGAAGACTTGCAACCTCAATTGCCACAAGTGCAGATGGAGAACCTTTCCGCTTTTGCAATAGTGTGGATGTTGACCAACAAACTGGAGTTGTTTTTTTCACTAATGGCAGTACTATCTATGATCTGAGGTTCTGCTAATCTGTTATTTTCTTTTTTCGCTAATCAAATCATTCATATTTTTGGACTCGGAGAAACTTCCAGGATAAGAAATTAAAACTGTTGTACTTCATTTGCAGAAATTTTGAAGCTATTCTAACTGGTGACTCCACTGGAAGATTGTCAAAATATGAGCGAAGATTGAATAAAGTCACGGTGTTGCTATGGAATCTTTCGGGGCCAGTAGGGACTGCAGTAAGTGAGGATGGCTCTTATGTTCTGGTCTCGGAGTATATTGGCAATAGGACTATAAAATATTGGATCAGAGGTGTCAAAGCTTACACATACCAAACCATAGGCTTCAGGGAAAGGCCAGATAACATCAGGAGGATTTGACCAAACGAATATTGGCAGGCAGCGGTCACAACAATAAGGCAACCTAAGAGAAGAATTACAGTACCTTAGGCCTACTGATCAATGACGTTGGTCGCCCTTTGCAGAATATAACCTTTGAGGCACTCTTTGGCACTACCCCAATCAGTGAAGTTCAACAGTATGGTCGTTCATTANAACATCAGGAGGATTTGACCAAACGAATATTGGCAGGCAGCGGTCACAACAATAAGGCAACCTAAGAGAAGAATTACAGTACCAATAGGCCTACTGATCAATGACGTTGGTCGCCCTTTGCAGAATATAACCTTTGAGGCACTCTTTGGCACTACCCCAATCAGTGAAGTTCAACAGTATGGTCGTTCATTATACAAATCATCAAGGCTTATGAATTTTATTGGTGTTTACACACCCTAGGAAATTACCCAGAAATGGCAGCTTACTAGAATAGCAGCTGTGTCCAAATAACTCTGGAACATGGGAGGTTACCTCTGTTCTGTACCTCATAACAAAACTCTTGCTTCATGTTTGCTTTACTCTTCTGGGAAATGGTTAAAAGCAGTTCTGTAACTTGAGTTCAAATGAAAGATAAAAAGTATTGACTGGTCTACATTACACCCTGAGGCAAAAAATTAACAAATTATGAAGCATATTATGAAGCAAATTTTGTTATATGGCAAATTGATGAAATCTTGACAAAAGAAACATAACATGTAACCTTTATTAATATACTAATTCTTGCTGACTTTCATTGATTTGGAAGTAGTTGTCAGCTTTATTTGATTATATTCACTAATGTATGACTCATTTGGACTCGTACGCACCAAACAAATTGGTAAACAGTGATCCTATGTAAACTTTTAAGGATAACTCATGAACTTCACTGTTCAATGAAGCACTAGGGATAAATAAGCACAAATTCCATAAGATTGCCATAGGCATCCAGTCTCAATGTGACAGGCATAAGAATGTGGAATAGGTTATTGTATGTTGACTGCCACCAGAAAATCTCCCATTTGATTCCCCTGAACATTGTCTGCCCACCCTGTGAAGATGTAAAATATTTAGATGTGTTAGCTTTTGGACCTTTTGAGCCAAAACTATTGCCAGTCAACTTAGAAAAAAGAATGAATTTTCCATCTGCAATAACTGCAGTCCCAGCCGGCTCTGAAAGCCCCCTTAATAACATAGTAACCTTCTTGATCTTGGCAAAATAAGTGATAGTATTTCTGCACATATGCACTAAGAGCAATTCCTGTTGACTCATCTTTCAGCAATTACCTGTTCAATTTCACTGAAAAATGAATCATAGTATTTCCACCTATTTCACTCAATTGTTCTTGCAAAATTACATGCCTTAGCTGGTAAACAGCACCAGCATCATTGAAATAGACGTCTCCGGTTACAGAGTCGGTGTCCAATCCATTGAGGAAGCTCAAGGATACCCCTTCTGCCATTGTGGCAAGTTGTGTTGCAAAACAACTGGTTTTTCCATGAAACCAAAAGTCTGCAATAAGCATCTCCAATAAAAAGTTCGCCAATTAAGTTATTCAAATCTAAACCTTCTGGCCTCCCACATATAGATCCTAGAACTGGGATGTTTTTGTCATCTCACGCTGCCTTGAACCAGAAGCATGGTTAAGGGAAAAAGAAATAAAATACAATATTGGTTAATGTAGGGTTGATAAATACATAACATAGTTGGACTTAAATATGTAAGAAGACTGCCACCAGTTGTTTGAAATTGGGTGATATAATAGGTCCTGCAAACGCATGACTGCATCTAAAGTATCATGTGATTTTAATTTCTATAAATCATATCAGTAAGTTTCTTATTCTGCCTAACTAAGGTCTCTGATGGATCAGTCCCTGTATCAAATATATTTCTTGACATAATCAATTTATTTACAAAATTTTATTCATGGTGAAGTTCACAAGTGCCATTGATTAAGTGACTTCCCTTCGGATTCTCGAGGAATGACATGTTTGGTGAAGTTTAGGCAAAATAAGCGAAAAGAAAAGCATATGCAGCATATGGAATATATTAAAATCTTAAATGGTTCCATTCCAGGCGAATTTCAGCTAATGATTGAGAGATTTTACATTTAAATTGAACCTCACTGAACTTCTTGTTTCAAGCTCAGCTCTATCGAACTATATTACAAGTCCTGAGAACAAAGGTCACTGTATAAACTTAATGAAAGGCTGTGTAAAGTACATAGAATTTACTTTTATGAACAGTTTAGTTCGTGATGATTTGTAAACCATGAACAGTATGTTACTTCAAATTCCATGCATAGAAGCTGCACCGCTTCCGAGATTATAATTCAAACATTTGTTGTTTAGTAATCAGCAGGATGACTAAACAACAAATTTCGACCGAAAATGTTTACATGAGTTGAGCCAATATTCTCCCAGCCGTTTTTTTTTTCCAGACTTCAGCCACATTTTCAGGCGTTCTTTTTTGAAAGTGTTAGAACTTCATTGACACTGCTCATATAGCAGCCTAAATTTATGGTCTGCTCCATACCCAGAAACGATGGTTCCTTTCCTGATTTTAGATTATGTGGGCAGAGTCATATCGTGGAGGGATGGTTTCCTGCTTGATTTCGGATTGCACACCAATCATATTCGCATCCCAGTTCAACTTCTGGAATGCTATAAATACCGGCATGGATACCTATGGTTCTTCATTCAGGAAATACGGCTATTTCTATAATCTTTGGCTTCAAAACTTCAGTCATGTTGTGCATCTTGGTTTCTATCCTGTCTTTGCCTTCCACGGTTCTTTCCATCCCATCTTTCACCAAGATCATATTGCCACCTGGAACCTTAGGTCCTGAATCTCTCGCCTTCGAGCCATTTGGTGGAGCATTCTACACAGGAGTTGCTGATGGAAGAATTCTCCGATATGGAGGACCCCAGATTGGTTTCTTAGATTATGCCTTCACCTCACCCAAGAGGTAACTTTGGCATGTTCAGTGATTTTATTCTCTCTACATAATTCACAACCATCATACTGAATAAAGGTCACTCTTTTGATTAACTCTGATTATACAGGTCCCACGCTGAATGTGATGACACCACTAATCCAGATCTGGGACCAATCTACGGAAGGCCATTTGGTTTGGCACTTAACAGAACAAGATATCTCTTCATTGCAGATGCTTATTACAGTCTCTTGGTAGCAGGACCTAATGGAAGATTAGCAACACAGCTTGCTATTAGTGCAGAAGGAGAACGTTTCCGCTTCTGCAATGGTTTGGACATTGATCAACGAACTGGATTAGTGTATTTCACGGACACCAGCGCTGTCTATGATGTAAGGTTCTTTTGATCATTTACATATTCTTGATCACTTAACATATTCTATAACAGACAAGAAGGAGCTTTCAGAAAATGAACTAAAACTGTTGATTTTCAATTCATCTTTGCAGAACTATCACACATGTAACAGGTGATTCCACAGGAAGATTATTGAGATATGACCCGAAAACTAACCTAGTCACGGTGTTGCTAAGGAATCTTACAGGGCCAGCAGGGGTTGCAGTTAGCAGAGACAGCTCGTTCCTTCTTCTCTCAGAGTTCAGAAGCAATAGGACTATAAAATATTTTCTCACAGGTCAAAGAGCTACCACATTCGGATATATAAACTTCCAGCCAAAGCCAAATAACATCAAGAGAAACATAATAGGGAATGACTTTTGGGAGGCAGCACTAATGACAAGACAATCACCAATACCTATAGGGCAAAGAATTGATGAATTTGGTAATATCTTGGCTACAAGAAGTTTTGAGGCACAATATGGCACTACCGCGATCAGTAAAGTTCAACCATTTGGTGGTTCATTATATATATCATCAAGGTCTGTGAATTTCGTTGGTGTTTACAGGCCTTAAGAGGGACCAAAAAAAGTGTTCTGTAATGGCAGCTTGAACTTTGAATACTGACAGCTGCAACCAAATAAGTTTGTAATAAGCCAGGCACTCTTGGCTACCCTGTCATGTAGCTTATAAAGCTTTTATTTCATGTTGGCTTGTCTCTTGAATAATTGTTATAAATGGTTCAGCAACATTTTTTTTTGTTTCATCCAAGTATGCATGACTGTGTAGAGGTATGACCCATTATACAAATGATTTAAAGACACTCTACTGCATTTTAAACTCTGAATTATCAGTCAATTTTTCTCTTTTAACTCATCCCAGTTTAATGGACAATGCATAATATGCAACAATATTATATCAGACAACATTTCAACCAAGAGAATTTTACATTAAACAAGCCAATCCGAGTAAACAACATGATAGAGGACTTACTGGTAACCATCAAGCACTATAGAACTCATCTAATGCAAGACAGATATATGATGTTCATATGTTTTTTAGTTCCGATACAAATTCTTGAAGATCTTGTAACTCAGCATTGTAGAGGCCTGCAAAACAAAAATAAGAATATCACAACACAAACAGGGAATTGACTCCACAAGAATATTCAACTCACTGTGACACTAAAACCACCTAAACTTGATGTTACTGTTACCTTTGCCGTGATTTATTGTACAAAACTCTCCTTTTGGATTGAAAACTCTCTCTGTTCTAATTTGTTGTCTATCTTCCATTCTCCTGGCCTTCAGTTTATCCATTTTTATACGAAGTTCAGATGCCATTTTCACCATCTCTGCAGGAAGCAATTGTTAAGAATATATATTATCTCCACAATAATAGTTATCATTTTGTGCATCGGGATACATTATCAACAGATGATTAATTAAGGCAAAAACAAACTCTTGCACCTCTAAAGGTACAATTCGATTAATATTCAGTGGCTTTTATATTTTTCTCAGCATATGAATTATACATTCACCAGCTTAAGGTTCCTCTCTTCTATACCAATTCTGCAACCAAACTTATTACGGTTGTCTCAGAGATAGTAACTCAAAGAAAACATTGGGGCATATTTATTTACCTTGAAACATGTCATGCATAGAATTTTCTTCATATAGTTGCAATGCCTCACTAGCAAAGCGATCACTTGAAGAAGACTGTTTTTCTAGTGCTCGGAGTTCTCGGTTCAGCTCAGCAGACTCCTTCCCAGCCTAAACAGTGAATTTGCATATTACAAGATATCCATTTGGAAAATAAAAAAACACAAAATATCACTTGCACATAAAGTTTCAGTTAAGACACAAAATTCATTTTACCACATTGAGCTTAGCCCTTAAGGAATTCAACTGTCCATCCAGATCTGGATCACTTAATGCATCTTCACTGATCGAACTTTCATCAGGTAATTCATTCTGGCAAGAAAACCTCCAGGTATCGTGAATAAAACCAGGAAAATTGGTAGTTAGAAACAAACATTTCCTTCAATATCAATTATTTATTATACATCTTTTAGACAACTGCAGCTTCCTGAATGTTTCCAACATCCCACCCACTGATTTATTTGCAGGCACCCACTTAATGCATGAAACCAACACCAACATCCCACCCACTGATTAATTTGTATATAATTTGAGTAGTAGAAGATCAAATCAGACACAATAGTGTGGCCCAGTATTTCACTGCATCTTGTTTCTTCAACATTACAAGACAATGACAATACAAAACAATAAAACCTCACCAATAATCATATATCCTTTTAAAAGTTCATAGAAAACTTATCAAATAAAAAACGTAGTCAATGATAATATATAAGCATGACACAAGCTAAGACTTTACATGCAATGTGCCATCACATCCTACTAACAAAACTTACAGTTTGGGGTAAAGAAAATCCTTCAGGAACAGCAAAACAGTGATGAAGGCAATACTTCTCCCACATACCCAGTCGCTTATCCAAAGCTGATTGAATCATGTTGCGAATGTAAGCCACACCCTAAAAGCATTATGAAGGGACCCACAAAACACTACATAGTCAGCATGCAACATAACCCACTTCACCAAGTTATGTTCACAAAGTATATAAACTATCTCTAGTGGATGATGTGATCTAAGCTACCTTAATTCACCTAAGCTTTTGTACTCCCCTTTCAGCCAAATCATAAAAAGGCTTAACACCAAAGATTTTAAGTGGTCAGCCTTATAATTTGCTCCGATAAGATGTTGGGGTCCATTTTTCTTGTATATCCATCATACGACCAAATTTGCGGGCAAAAAAATTCACAACTTCCTAAGGGAATAAGGATAATTATGCTTTATTAACAGTTATACAAGTAAAAATCTACAATTTTCGGTAGTTTCCACAGTGATCCTTAAATATGTCCAATTGGGTAAGCATAATAATAACACGACCAAACTAACCAGTTCAAGTTACACCTGAAGCAGTTTCAAGAATTTCAACTGCCGAATGAAATTTTTTAAATAAAAAAATAGGTGTTATTCAACAAATTAAGCTCTGGATCTGACCTTGCATAGATCTTGAGACCTATCCGTGCCCTCCGTTTTCAAAAGAGTTGAAGCTTGTCTGCAAAACCAACAACAAAGACAAAATAAAATTCCCTAAATTTTTATTTTCGTTTATTAAGAAAAGAATAGATTAGAGAGAGAAGTTACTGGAGGTAGAAATCGAATGCTTCATCAACCAAATCGTCGACGGTGTTGAGGGCTTCATTGATGAAAAGCTGTGGGTTCAGATTTAGAGAATTAAACACGGCCTCACTTTCACTACCTCCCATTCTCACTTTTTTATTTCCAGTTTCCACTGATAAAAAGAGAGTTCGAATGAGCTTTTTAGGGATTCAGTGTTGCATACACGATTTTCCCGCCAAAAACTGTGAAGTGAAAAAGAAAGGATTGAAAATGAAATGAACGTGACGAAAAAATCCTCTTTTATTCTCTCATTTATTTATTTATTTTTTAAATAATAAAATAATATTACTTTTTTGTTTTTGGATTAAAATACGGAAATTACGGTCAAAGTATCGTTGACCTCTAGCGAAGCTGCGGAGTGCGGAGCCACACAACAGAAGAAGTGAAATTTGTAGCTTAATTTTTGTTTTACATTTTTAGTCAACCCCAAAATGTTTTCAAAATTCCAAAAAGCATCAGATAAGGAGAGAATATTTTTACAAAACAAGACCCTTGTTTTCACAACATGTTTTCAGAAGCAAATGCATATGGCAAAGAAGACTTCTTCTTCTTCTAAAATCCAGACCCTGTACGAGCTTTGTAGAAAGACCTTTACGCCTTCAGGGACACATCCTTCCTCTTCTCAAGCCATCCACAGTGTCTGCTCTCTTTTGGGTATTTCTCCATTTCCCTCAATTAAGAAGCTTTTTTTGTTGTTGTTTGCTTCAAATCTGTGTGTTTTTTGGGGGGTGTATGTTAAGCTTTGGCTCAATTCTGCATCTGGGTTTGTTTGTTAATGGAAAGTTTAATGTGGGTTTGTGTTGTTTTGAGTGAAGTTGAAGAATTGAATCTTTTGAATATTGTGTTCAGTTTAATTCTTGAGTAGTTTGGGTTCAGTGTACTTTTTGCTTACTGAGATATGATTGTGAGATAAAGATCTCTTCTTGATATTACCGGATTTGAAATTAGGTCTCATTTCTTCGTGAAAATGAACTTTTCCATTTAAGCATTGATTTTCTTATTGTTCAAAAGCCTGAAACGAAATTTTATTTTGTTCATTAGTATTGAATGTTATTTACTATGATGCCTTTATCGTTATGCAATAATACTAATACTTAGCACTATGCAGACACAGTTGGCCCTGCAGATGTGGGGCTTAAAGAGGAAAGTCAAGATGATGATCGAGGACTTGGAATATTTGGACTCACCGGACTGAATAGGGCAGCTCGATGGGCTCAACCGCTTACATATTTGGATATATATGAATGTGATAGTTTCACGGTATGAGAAATGTCATCTATACGGTACAAATTTCACAAAGTTTAATACCCGCTAGAAAACTTGATAACATTTTAATGCAAATGGTTTTGTCCCTGAACTTTCAGGTTATTTCTGTTTCAAGTTATGCATATTTGCTAAATTCAAAAAATTAAGTTTTGGTTGGTTCTGATAGTATATTCATCAGTAATTTTATTTCTGACCAAACTAGATATGCCTGTTAGCAGCTGTACATATGAACAATATAATTTGAAAATCAGCCATGCAATTCAGTTGATCTTGGCCTAAGCTGATTGAATGAAATTGTTCTTAGGAGGTTAATGATTTTATATGCAGATGTGCATTTTCTGCTTTCCTACTTCGTCAGTTATTCCACTCCATGACCATCCTGGTATGACTGTTTTTAGCAAAGTTCTCTATGGATCTATGCATGTCAAAGCTTATGACTGGATTGAACCTGCTTGTTTCCGAGAAGCCAACAGACCAGGCTCTCGTCCAGGTTTGACTTTTAAGATTGCTTTTCAACTTGATAGATAATAGTTACTTAGACTATCAAAAAGAAAATTCTAGCATTGAATTTTATTCATATATGTTCTGTTAAAAATATTATGAGATTTTGACCTAACTCTAGGAACTGAAAATGAATATCATTTGATGCACCTTAATATTGTGGGTTGGTAATACTACCATCTCAATGACTGTTGATTGTGTGCTTTAATTTCCCTGAGTTATGCATTTTAATTGTTGTTTATAAATTTTCTCCATCATTGTTCGGTCATGAGTGTGAATAACCTTTGTCTAAAGTTTTTTGTGCATTATGGCTGTGATTTGTGAGACATGGATGAAATCCCTGACTGACTTTTTGTTCTGACAAGATGTTATAGCCTATGTCACTAAGATTACCTCTTGATATTTCCAGCTTTCTTTTACCTATTCAAATCCAAAGCTGCCTTAATAAGCTGTTTATCAACCATCTTCATGCTATTGACTGCCTTTGGCCTACTGGAAAATGATTACACTGACCACTTTTTTGTTTTTATTTTTACATTTATGCGCTTACTAATACTATCTTAAAGTGGGAGTTTAGTATCTCTGACTTTCCCTATGGTTTTAACAATTGTCAAATTGTTGCCCTTTATCTTGATGTGATTAATCTGCAATTTGGTGGAAATTGTAGAAGCTCCAAGTTTTGTGTTTGGGATTAACAATTAAATAACTCCTTGGACACAGCAGATATTGGACATACATTGGCTTGCAAGTGTCTCATATGCCTTGCTTCCAGTTACAAATATTGAGGGTCAATAGCTACTCAACTTATGATGAAACTTTCTCTTTTGCAGTGAGATTGGCAAAGTTAGCGGTCGATAAAGTTTTAACACGAGAATGTGGGACATCAATTTTATATCCAAAGAGTGGGGGTAATTTGCATTGTTTCACTGCCATCACACCGTGTGCTGTCCTTGACATTCTCACACCTCCTTACAGAGAAGGTGCTGGCAGAAAGTGTACTTACTATGTTGACTACCCTTATTCAACCTTCGGTAAGTAACTTTTCTATTTTCTTTTTCGGTGCCCTGCTGCAATTCTACATTATAGATTGAATATCTTTCATTCATACTTTTTCAACTAACCGACTAAAAACCTGCATTTTGTTGTATATTACACTTGAGCTGCAGAAAATGGAGCTGAAATAATTGATGGAAAGGAAGACAATGCATGGCTTGCTGAGATAGACACACCAGATGATCTTTACATGCGCCCTGGAGTATATGCTGGCCCAAGTATTCAGGTTTAGCTTGTATTGCAAAGATCAATGCTCAAGCCGCCCATGCTTCTCATGGCCTTAATATGAGCTGTTGATTCTGGAGAAAATCTGTCATTTTTAGCCGCAATGATCACATGGTAAATACCTGAAATGCTGATGCAATAAGCTTTATGGATAATTCTCCTGCTTTCACTAACAAATATGCGAAGGAAAAAAAAAATATATTATTTTGGAGTTCTCTCTAGTTTGTATCAGCATTTATTTCTGCACTCAGTATTTTCTACAGCCATCCTGTGTAAATTAATCGGCTGTGCTTACTGAGAATGTGCCCATGCTTTTGGTTGCAGCTATCCTGAGTTATATTATCTGCCTTTGTTCTGTGTTTCTTATCGTTTAGAATATTCTGGTTTTGATAGAATATGGTTTATCTTTTTATGCACAGACAAAGAAACCTTTAGTGAGATCCTATATTTAAAGAACATTCTTGTGTGAAATCCGAACTGCATTTACTATAAGTTTGTGATTGTTGCTCGTAAACTTTCAAGTTCAAGGCAAGAACGTTATTTTGATGATTAAATGCTTTAACTTGCCAATTTATTTCCAGAAGCTCGGTTTATCCCAAAATCCGGGCTTCATGGCTGATACAACCACCTGCAGATTAAATCAATCCACACCCAGCCAGCAATAATTCTCACACAAATCAACCCACACACACAGTCAAACGACAACTCAAGATAATGCTCATGACACAAATACAATTCCTGCACTGCTTGTATTAAACAGAATAACTGGATGAAAATAGAACAGATGAAAAATGGAAATAATTGAACATAAAACCCTGGCGTTTCGAGGAGCCAGGAGCCTCCACTATTTTATCAACCCAAAATCAAAAGTTGTTCCCTCCTACGTCTCTCCCTGAACATATACTAATTCCCATTTTCCACAATTACCCTTACTCACACAATGTGTATTCTCAAACAAATCTACCCAAATGACACCTGTACTTTGTGACCCACTCCCTTAACAACCTTCCTATACTTTTTCCCTTTAAGGGTGTAGACTATGCATTGTCGGCTTATCAATACCACCCCCACCACCCCCCCCCCCCCCCCCGGCCGCTTGAAGATTCACCTTGTCCTCTAGGTGATATTGTGGGAACTGTATTCGAATCACTTCATATGGTTCCCAAGTGGCTTCAAAATCAGGTAAATGCTGCCATTTGATGAAAACTTCTTTAGACCCATCTGACAGGGTACGCACAGGGAGAACAGTATCTGGTTGGACCATTAATTCCATATCTTCAGAGAGTGAGTCCGGAAGGGGTTGGATGGGTACCGATTGATGTAAGCTCCTCTTAAGCTGAGAAATATGGAAGACAGGATGAATACGGGCTGTGGGAGGCAGATCCAATTTATAAGCCACTGGTCCTATGTGTTCCAAAACAAGGTAAGGACCATAGAAACGGGGACTGAGCTTCTCATTCATTTTTCGGGCAACGGACTTAAACCTGTAGGGCTGAAGCTTCAGGAAAACTGAGTCACCAGGCTGGAAACAATCATTCGCCGATGAAGATCAGCATTCTGTTTCATGCGAGTTTGAGCCGCAAGTAAATTGTCCTTAAGCTCCCCTAAAATGGCATTACGTTCAGTCAGTTGGACATTGATATCTTCCACGGCGGATGGACAGTCTGTGAATTTTAAAAGAGTGGGAGGATCTCGTCCATAGAGGGCCTTGAAAGGCGGCATGCGGATGGACCCGTGGTAGGTTGTATTGTAGCAGTATTCTGCCCAAGTGAGCCAATTAGGCCACTGTCGGGGCTGAGAACTACAGAAACAGCGGAGATACACTTCGAGGCACCTATTTACCACCTCTGTTTGCCCATCGGTCTGCGGATGGTAAGCCGAACTAAATTTCATAACAGTACCGGCAGCCTTGAACAACTCTTGCCAAAACTGACTCATAAAGAGTTTGTCTCTGTCAGAGACAATGGAATTGGGAAAACCGTGTAGCCGGACCACTTCCTTAACGAATATGGTGGCGACATCCTTTGCATTGTATGGGTGACCGAGACAAAAAAAAAATGGTTGTACTTGGTCAGGCGGTCAACGACAACAAAGATGGTATCAACTCCTTTCGAACATGGTAGTACCCCGATAAAGTCCATAGAGATATCCTCAAAAACCTGTTCTGGAATGGGGAGAGGCTGGAGGAGTCCGGCAGGTTTTAACGACGACTGCTTATTCAGTTGACAGGTGGTACAGGTTTTAATGTAGCTTTGTATATCTCCCCGAATACCCTCCCAATAAACTACCGAAGATACTCTCTTGTAGGTTCTGAAGAAACCTGAGTGGCCTCCACTAGGACTCTGATGGAATTTGGTCAGTAATTTGGAAACAAATCTGGACCCTTTTAGAATAACCAGCCTTTTCTTATAGAATAGGCAGCCCCTGCGGATATGATAGTTGGGTCGGCTAGAAGAGTCAATGAGAAGATCCTGAATGATTTCCTTGAGTTTCGGATCTGTTTGTGCCTCCGTGGCCATCTCCTCAAATTCAGAAAACTGTACTGTAGATAAGGCTGAAAGGTGTGCCACTTCGATTCCATCTTCTCTTCTTGAAAGAGCATCTGCTACTCGGTTGGAAGCCCCTGGGTAGTACTGAATGTCAAAGGTAAAACCCATCAGCTTGGAGATCCATTTGTGTTTTTCCGTAGTTTTTGATCATTGATCCGTTAAAAATTGGAGGCTGCGCTGATCAGTTTTGATGAGGAATTTTCTGCCCAACAGATAGTGACTCCATTTCCTAACTGCAAAAACAATGGCCATCAATTCACGCTCGTAAACCGATTTCAGCTTAGCTGTAGGGGAGAATGCCTTGCTGAGAAATGCTATCGGTCGAGACTACTATACCAAAACAACCCCGAGACCTCTTCCAAATGCGTTTGTCTGAATTTCAAAGGGGCGTGTGAAATCTGGAACTGCTAAAATAGGGACGATAGTCATGGCTTCCTTGAGTCTATCAAAAGCCGATTGAGCCGAATCATTCCAAGTGAAGGAATCCTTCTTTAATAACTAAGGGGCTGTGCAATTGAACCATAACCTTTTACGAATCTCCGGTAATAACCTATCAGCCCAAGGAAACCTCTCAATCCCTTCACATTTACAGGTCGCGGCCAGGATACCATAGCTTCAATCTTTTTCGGATCTGCCTCAACTCTGTGTTCCGAAACCAGGTGACCCAAATATTCCAGCTTAGATTGGCCAAAGGAGCACTTTTTCTTGTTAACCACCAGTTTGTGTTCCTGCAAAATTTGAAAGGTTAGTTGTAAGTGCTGAATGTGTGTGGTTAGGCAGGGGCTATACACAAGGATATCATTAAAGAAGACCAAGATAAATTTACGGAGAATTGGCCTAAATACTGAGTTCATTAAGGCTTGAAATGTGGAAGTCGCATTAGTGAGACCAAAAGGCATCACAAGGAACTCGTAATGCCCCTCATGTGTGCGAAAGGTTGTTTTGGGAACATCAACCTCTCGCACCCTAATTTGATGATACCCTGACTTAAGGTCCAGTTTAGTGAAAATTGCTGCCCTGGCTAATTCATCAAGTAATTCTTCAATGGTTGGTATTGGGAATTTATCGGGTATGGTAATATCGTTTAATGCCCTGTAATCCACACAAAATCGCCAACTTCCATCCTTCCTTTTGACCAATAGAACAGGGCTGGCGTATGGGCTAACACTAGGCTGGATAATCCCTGCAGACAACATTTCCCCAACCAGCCTCTCGATTTCATTCTTCTGAAAATACGGGTATTTGTAGGGTCGGATATTGGGTGGTTTGGAACCTGGTTGAAGTTCTATGGCATGGTCATGTGTCCTATGGGGTGGTAATTTAGGATTCTGGTCAAACAGTTGTGGGTACCTGTCTATCAACTCTAATATTCCAGGGTCAGTTTCCTCCTATATTGGCTCTTCCTTCAACCATATGGATCCAAATTCCACGACATACCCATTTCCCGCAACCTATAAAGTCCTAACCATAGTCTTCAGTGATACCTCCGTCTTTACCAGTAGGGGGTCCCCTCGCAGTTTCACCTTCTTCCCTTCCCAGTCAAATTCCATAGTTAATCTCTGCCAATTGGCGCTCACATCCCCCAGAGTACTCAGCCATGTAACCCCCAAAACCACGTCTGCACCTCCTAATTCGAAAGGGAAAAATTCCTGTTGTATCTCAATTCCCTGAAGTTTCAACCTCACTGCCTTACAAATCCTTTTCCCCGAATGGTACATCCATCCCCAACCATTACTCCAAAAGGCTTTCCCTCATCCACCTTCAGCCGTAGCTTTTGCACAACCCCATGGGACACAAAGTTGTGGGAGGCCCCACTATCCACCAAAACCACCACCCTTGCATTCCCAATCTCCCCTTGTAATTTCAAGGTTTTTCCCGATGAAATACCCACAATGGAGTTCATCGAAAGGGCTAGAGATTTACCTTCACTGATGGCTTCTTCGTTAGTTTATGTTCCAATTTTCGGTGGGTTTGTATCATCGTCATCCAGGAGTAACAACACTTGCAGAGTCTTGTTTTTACACCGGTGGTTTGGCCCATACTTCTCGTCGCAGCGGTAACAAAGCCCACGCTCTCACTTATACTGCAGTTCAGCATCAGAAAGCCGCCGGAAGTTGTCAGTTCGGTTGACGAACCCCACAGACTCAGTCGCCTTCTCTCTTCGTTCGGGGGCTTTGCTGAAGTTTGACGTACACGAAGATGGATCTGGTGGTTTTGCGCTGAAATTCCACCAATTACTGCGCGTGGGTTCCGGGTTTGGGCTGACTCGTGAATATGGCTCCCCACGACCCGTTAGGTTTCTAAATGGCTTGGGCCTTTGTTTATCCAATACCCAATTCCTCTCCTCAATCCTGTGGGCTTGATCCATCAACCCAAACAAAGTATTTGGCTGAGACAAACGAAGCTCAGCTTTTATATCTTCTTTTAAGCCATTCGTGAAAATTCCCTTGAGCAAATCATCACCCAGGTCCTTCAATGGTGCCGCATTGGATTGAACTGTTCCCTATATTCAGTAACTGTCCCATCTTGTTTCAAGGCCACTAAAGCCTCATATGTTGATCCTTTAAATGATGGTCGGAAACGATCGATCAAGGCTGTTTTGAAGGTTTCCCATGATTGAAAAGGTGCTCTGGATTCGACCCATTGATACCAGCTTAAAACTCTTCCCTTCATGCAAACCGTTGCTGCTTCCACCATTTCTGTCTCTTGGAAACGATTGATGGTGAAGTAGCGATCTGCTCTGAAGGACCATCCAAACGGATCCTCACCATTAAAGATGGGTAACTCCAGCTTTCGGTTGTTCTTTTTATCGTCTTTCCCACTGTCTTTCCGTTCTGATTCCTTATCTCTACTGATATTCTGGTTCTCTGCCGATGAAGAAGACTTCTCTCTTTCTTGTTCTCTTCTTCCTTCCCTCTCTTCTCTTATGCGCATTAACTCCCTCATTTTTGTCAAATATTCTTTCACACTACCCATATCAATTTTCAAGGATCCTATGTCTTCCTTTACTGTATTCATCTCCTTCTCCACACTATCCATCCTAGTCTCCATTTTGGATTTTACCATTCCCCAACTTGGCTCTGATACCAATTTGATACAACCACCTGCAGATTAAATCAATCCACACCCAGCCAGCAATAATTCTCACACAAATCAACCAACACACACAATCAAACCACAACTCAAGATAATGCTCATGACACAAATGCAATTCCTGCACTGATTGTATTAAACAGAATAAGTGGATGAAAATAGAACAGATAAAATGGAAATAACTTAACATAAAACCCTGGCGTTTCGAGGAGCCAGGAGCCTCCACTGTTTTATCAACCCAAAATCAAAAGTTGTTCCCTGCTACATCTCTCCCTGAATATATACTAATTCCCTTTTTTCACAATTACCCTTACTCACACAATTTTTTGTATTCTCAAAACAGAATCCACCCCAATGACACCTGTACTTTATGGACCCACTCCCTTAACAACTTTCCTAATGCTTTTTACGCCCTTTAATGGTGTAGACTTTATGCACTGCCGGTTTATCAATGGCCTAGGAATCGCCTCATGCTTAATGAACCTACGGTTCTGGATTTCCATTGATGATTCTCATTACTTTCCACTGTTATACGGGCCCTATAACACTTCTTAGAACCCTCTGTGATTTGGGGCTTAAAATGGCGACAACTAGAATCTAGATTCTAGAGACTAGACTGTAGACCTTAATCCCTAAAGGTTTTTAGGTTACGAGGACCTTGTTATTTTGTGATACAAATTTCTAGTCATTGATTGAGCAATTGTCTGACTCACTCCTTAGGTGTTTCAGACCCTCATCACATTCACTATCCCTCGAGCCTACAGAGTAGATATGAGTCCCGACAACCTGGTTTATTGCTTCGCGTCAGAATGTTTGTTAACTACCTAAAAACCATAAACATGATGATCTAAAGGCTCAATCATTGTGTTCCACGACCTCGAGCATTCCTTGTGAGCTAGAAAAGCATGACAATGATGCGCTTCCACGACAGATTAGGAATTTAGCTGTGTAGATACAACAAGTGTATTGTGATTAAACAGACCAATCCTTCATTACAAGTACACTGTAAATTACAAAATATGGTGTTCAGGTCTTGAACTAATTCTTAATGGCATACAGTGTTCAACCAAGTTCCATATTCACTCCGGATACTGCAAATCAAAACTTATTCAGAGACAATAGTCATTTCAATTAAAACTGAGAACACATTATTCTAACAAATGATCTGGTTATGGTGTTTTTTGAATGACATCTTAGCTGACTGGCTCTACCAAAAAAATTTCCCGGATTTTGTAGGTTTAACAGATCCGTAGCTCAGGTACTATGTTTTCTGATGGTGAATTTGACCTGGTACTTATTCTATTCGAACAAACTGCATTCTGTATCTTTTAACTAAGGTGATCTAAAAGCTTCACCGGCATAACGCACATTTCCAAGTTCCTCTTCAATGCGCAGAAGCTGCAACCAAACCAAGAATGGAAAAACATAGAAGAATCTATTATAATAGTCAATATTCATAGAATTTGCACATAGAAGTAGACATAAAATTAATGTGGAATATATTAACTAAAAAGACTGTTCAGAATCATCTTACAAGCAACCAATGGCATCTTTTGGGTTCATTGAAAAAATTCCATTGGCTTTTCTAAAGTTGGGTATTATGGGTTATCCAATCAAATTATTCTGGGAAGATGGTTCAGTGTGTCATCCAGTGTGGGATAAAGAGTGCTATTAACATTACCACCAATTTTTCAAAAGGAAAAAGATAGGGGTAACTTTTCAGAATATTGATTATACCTGATTATACTTGGCCAATCGCTCACTTCGGCAAGGAGCTCCGGTCTTGATCTATAAAACAAGACATATAATGGTCAACTTCATAAGGCCTTTAGAATTTAGAAACAATGTACTACAGATAACAAAGTTCAGGATTGCAGTTGCTATACCTGTCCGCTTGCCAAACCGACAGAAAGATCAGCAATAAAATTATCCTCAGTTTCACCACTGCGGTGGCTGACCATTACACCCCAACCTGCAGCTTTTGAATCAAGTGCTGCCTGGATGGATTCGGTCACTGTGCCAATCTGGTTAACCTGCAAACAATAGTAAATAAAAATGAGTTAAATGTAGCATCAGGGTAGCCATTGCTCTCGTCTATTTTGATAGGGAGAAACTAAAATTAGTGCAACATATCATCTATCATTAAAATGAACCATGTAAAATTTTATATGGTTAGGTAATTACATCACTTGAGGGGCTGAAGAAGAAAAAGAAAGATGCAATAATAATTTCTCTAGGTGATATCATATATCTAAACTCAACAAAAGGATACCCAAAAATTAGCAAGATTCAAACAGGGTACATTCTATGGTAACAAAACCAGAAAGACACCAAGGAACAAACTTACCAAATACCTTTGATCTAAATTTATTTCCTTTTTCTGTTTTTACTAAATGAATACACAAATTAGAAGTAGTTTAGTGCTTTTCAATATAACCCATTAAAAAAATAAAATAAAAAAATACATAAAATTTGAAAACGACTGAGCACTTTATGGATATGACAGTGGGGCTAAAAGGGTACTGTGTATTGATCTCATGATCCTTCAAATATATCAAAGAAATACAGGTATTTTTGGATACAAAGTAATCAAATTATGAGAGGGGCTAAATGGCAATCTGTTGTTCTTTCTATATACAGTCTCCATGGCATTAATCGCAGAGAACAAGAAACCACAATCGACGGGATAGAACCTAAGGAAGACTCACAGAGGGAATTTAGAAATTGACTGAAACAGAAATATATTATATGAAACACTCTACATTTTCTTTTTTCTCACACATATTGGGAGATTGTGTATAAAACCGTCAATCAAATATGATGCTATATATCTTAAGTGTCATACAAATTGGTAGATTATTACATAAGCTGGCAATAAATGATAACTTCATTTATGGTACAATCTAACATGAATGCTGACTAATGGGCTACCACCTAAAAGAACATCTGATTGATTAGAAAGTCAGAAATGCAGAGCTCAAAAGGATACCATTGAGATAACAAATGTAAAAGAAAATTAAAAATGAAAAAAAATTAACATCCAACATCAAGTTGATGAAGAGAAGGATTAAGGTAGTAAAAGAAAAAAGATATAAACGCAAAATGCAGCCAGTATATGAAGGCTAAAATAATAAATATGACTATGAATTAGATTCATACTTTTAGAAGTAAAGCATTGCAAGACTTTTTCTGAATGGCTTCAGCTATTCTCTTTGGATTTGTGACCAACAGGTCATCTCCTACAAGTTGAATATCAACCGATGACTGTAGTGAAGTCCATGAACTCCAATCATCTTGGTCAAAGGGATCTTCAATAGATACGATAGGGAAGTCTTTAATAAAGTCCTTGTAAAGGTCACCAAGGCTCTGTGCCGACAGCACATGAGCTCCATCATTTGGTTGTTTCTTAAAATTTAGATCATATTTCCCATCTTTAGTGAGAAACTCTGAAGCCGCAACATCCATTCCAATTTTGATCTGCAGCAATGATTTATGTTCATGGGCACCATAAGCAAACTTTAGTTAATACAGAGAAGAGTAAAGCAAATAAGCACCTCCTACCTTGCCAGTGTAACCAGCCTTTTCAATTGCATCCATAAGCAAAACAAGTCCCTCCCTGTTATCCTGAACATTGGGAGCAAAACCCCCTTCATCTCCAACATTGCAAGCATCTTGTCCATATTTTGCCTTGATAATCCCCTTTAATATATGATACACTGTAAGCTCAAAAACATAAAGCAGATATTTATCAACAAGTTGTATCACTGGAAACACTATAATTGAAGTAACAAGCTAATGAATATCTAATAGGAATAGCAAAAAAAAAAAAAAAAAAAAAAAAGAATGCAATTGACCATACCACAGACAAACTGCAATCAACAAAAATTGATAATAGCTACAAACTGGAAGTTTATAGTCACTTTTAGAAGCGATGGCACAAGTGTATAACTCTCTTCTTATGTGTATGGGAAAAATCAGTAGTCTATATTAATTCATAAAGCATCTACCAGAGTTTCAACAAACACTAGAAGGCATGTGCATGGTCTTAAAACGAGTGTCAATGAAAATAGTCCCAGAAAAAGATGATAGTGGAGATAAGACATAGCTTACTAACCTTCACTACCCATTCGGAGAGCTTCAGCAAATGAGGTTGCGCCTACTGGTAATATCATAAATTCTTGCATAGCCAAATTATTTCCAGCATGACTGCCTCCATTTATCACATTAAAAGCAGGAACTGGCATAACAAGCTCTTTTGTTCCAGACAATTCCTGGATGTGCTTGTACAAGGGCAATCCTTTTGCTCCTGCACCAGCTCTGCAGACACTCAAAGATACTCCTAATATTGCATTCGCCCCCAGTTTTGACTTATGTTGAGTCCCATCAATTTCCACCATTATAGCATCCACTTCAGCTTGATTTCTTGTAAAGCCAATATGAAGAATATGAAAACCATACAACCAGTAGCAAACAGAACAAAATACTCACACTCAAAACAACATACTTAAAAGCATCAAACTTTACAAGAAAAAATGCATAAAAAATAACACAGATAAATCTCAAAAAGGATAAAAGAAAAAAAGAAATATATTGCTCTGATCATGTGATCACTCAATTAAATATGATCTATTTCGAACCTACACCAACAAGAAAATGGTTTTAGTTCCCCCACTTCATTATTTTAGTAGCACAAAAAGTCATACAAGCAACATTCAACATACTACACATGTTTATATAGAAGACACCATTTTAGTAACATCCAACGCGTAAATCATCAATGTTAAATTGTTAATGTTATCACTAGTTTTGCATTGAAACTTAAACGGTAACATTACCGGGCCAGTACCATAGTTCTATTCCTAAAAACTTCAACCAACAATAAAAATCTAAATTTTATGTCATTAACTTTCTTAATTCAAAAAACAATGAAAACCCAAATTACCTGACATCAACACCAACAAGCTTAGGACCCAAAATGTCGTTAATATTCTTAACAGCATTGAGAACACCTTTACCGCCGTACACACTCTTGTCTCCGTCTCTGAGCTCCAAGGCCTCGTAGATCCCAGTAGAGGCCCCACTAGGCACAGCCGATCGAAAAAGATCATCAGTGATGAGATCAACCTCGACGGTGGGATTCCCTCTGCTGTCAATGATCTGCCTGGCCTTCACGGACTTGACCTTGGACGACGTCGTGGCCACCACAGAACACTTGACGCTGCAGGGGCGGAACTTACGAGAAGCAGGAGCAGAGCGTTGGAGTTTGGTTGAGAAGAAGGGATTGGCTTGGGTAGCTAAAGAAGCCATGGTGGGATTGCTAGAGAAAAAAAAAGAGAAAGTGGGTTTGTTAATGGTGTTTGGAAGGAGGGAAAGTTGGAGAGAAAATATAAATAGAGGGAAAGTTGGCGTTGGAAAGTCCGCTAAGTGGCGATGAAAGCAGTGGAAATGTAAAGGTGAGTTCAAATATAAATTTTGTAATTTTGGCTTTTGGTGGTTGTTGGAAAGACGTTATGCAAAGAGAAAGAGGCAGGTAAGGTCAAGTTTGGTGTGTTTGTTTCTCTTTGACTCTGTGTCTTTCAGCTTCATGGGCCGCCACTCCACCAAAATAAAGCCCATATTTCTCAATTAAATACGTTTTTTTAAGAATCTCAAATTTAAAAGTCAAATACGTAACATAAAAAGTATTTAAAACTCTAATTTATCATAATATAATATTAATCTACAATTTACTATAATGAGAGTTTAGGGTGGGTTCTTTTATGAATTTTGTATTTTAATTTTCTGGATTTTTTAGAATATTGAAAATGTGAAAAATGAAAACGTGATCGATATGTTTACCTAAAAATGATACTTGAAAACACAAAAAATGAAAACGTGTTCATCGTATTTATTTGAAAATGCAAAGAAAGAAAGAAAGAGAAATATGAAATGCAATACCTATATACTTGATAAAACCTCTTCAATTACCACTTATTTTGTTCATCTTGAAGAGCTCGTCTCAAATACATTAACAATTGACTTCCGTTTCAAATATCGTATTAAAACTTTGAATACGAAACAAAAGTTTTTTGTTTATGAGAGAAAAAAAAAAAAAAAAAAGAGAGAGAGATCAAATGAATAGTTTATTTAAAATTGATTTTTGTATATTATAATAGGGCCTTATTTGTCTCTTTCACCTGTGTTTTCTCAATTTTGTTGATACAATTAAATAAAAAAAAAGATAACAAAACACTTATTACCCAAAATCCCTATGTAAGAAAAATGAAAAGAGTAGATATAAAATGTTAAACGGATATATACTCTAAAAGACTAAGGGTTTGTAATGACGTTAAATGAGATACAACATAGAGGAGTGGCGAGTAAACGGTTGTTGACGAACCCATGGTCCAAGAGGAAGGAGTGCAACCGGTGAAACTAGGCCCGTGGAGCCTACTTGAGCCCATAAATGGCTTCGATGAGGCGACAGACATTGGAAGGATGATTATGATAAATAAACCCAAGAGGCTACTCCATGAACACCTCCTCATACAGAAACCCCTGAAGAAAAGCATTCTTCACGTCAAGCTGATGTGGAGGCCACCCATGCATAGTGACAAGAGTAAGAATGCTTGGAATGGTAGTTGGCTTTACCATTAGGCTGAAAGTATCCCCGAAGTCAACGTCAGGCTATTGGTGGAAGTCTTTGGTAATAAGACGAGTCTTGTATAGTTCAATTGAGCCATCCGCACGACGCTTGGCCTTGTAAACCCAACGGAAGCCAACTAGATTTTGTCGAGGAATAAGAACCCAAGTGTTGTTGTGAAGAAGAGTTGTGTACCCTTCACGCATAGTGTGCTGCCAGTAAGGAACAAACATAACTTGCTTAAAGAAAGCCAGTTCAAGAAGCACAAGGTCAGCTACCTTGGCAGTGAGTGCCTGTGGAATCTGATGAGGTGAGAAGCCAGGATCTCATTAATGCTGCGAAACTTGGGTCGAAGAGGTAGAGTCTCAAAGGAGGTAGACGGTGAATCCTCTGCAGATAAGGAGGTTGGAGGTGACACCGCCTGGGAGGGCGACGACGACGTGGCTGTCAGTGGTGGAAGAGAGACCGGAGCCGAAGAAGGTGGCGTCAACTGCAGCGGCACAGAAGTAGATTGATTTTAGAAGAAATAAATCAATCTCAGTTTGATTGATTCTTCTTCTATTATATATTTTGTCGATCCATCTTGCTTGCTTGTTCTACAATTTTTTTTTTATTTTTTTTTGGTCTCAACTCTCATGCATACTTGTTTTATTTTTCTTTTAAATATGAACCAATTACAAGTAGTATTTTCATGAATTTCAGGCACAAAATGGACTAGTAACTCATAAATTACATTAATAATATCTTCTAAATTTTGAATATCATAAGTGATGTTGTAATACTTCCTGATTTTCCTTGATAACTTTTATTTAATTTCCTTTTTAGGTGAAAGATCACAGAAGATACAAGCACTATTAGAATCTCCATTTTCATTCGCGTCAACAAAATTCTTAAAATATAATTTAAGATCAATCTATTGTTGTGGTTAGATGAAAAGGGAATTAAATTCATATATATGATCTTTTATGTTTATAAATATATGTTTTCTTTAAGAAATTTTCAGTGTTATTAATTATTATTCTCCTATTCTTACCAAAAATCGAATTCAATATCATTCCGTTTGAACCAAAAATTGAAGTCACTATAATTTTGTTTGAAAATAGCTTCCATTGTGAGTTCTTTCCATTATGGTTTAGTACTAAAAGTAAATGATTTTTAAAATACGATTATGAGCTATTATTATTATTATTTTTTATACAAATTAAGACATTAATTAATTATGTCACAATTATGGGCTTTCTTATAAATCCCATAGTTATAACAAATTACTTGGCACCCCCTAGTTTCCGAAAGCTGCCTTTATTTAACCCCATTCCATTAGTTTTCTTGGTTCCAACCCACATTACAGGTGCGAATTTGTTGCAAGTGAATTTCGATTGTAAAATGAGAAAAATTAACGAATCAATTGGGATTATATTGTCAATAGGATGAAATATGTTGGGTAATTGGGTCTACTTAATGAATTTTTTATAGATCTTGGGTGATAGAGCGAAATAAATTAGATTTTGACAAAAGGGTAAAATTGTCTTTTACATGCTTAACAAACTTTTATTGAGAGATTCTCACATGATAAGGGTTAGGTTAGAGTAGGATGCAGATAATAGGATAGGCGTACGAACTTGTTATTACTATGGGGGTTTATTGTGAAAAATCCCACAATTACTAAGGCTCCGTTTGGTTCCCTTTTGGAAAAACAGTAAAATTGCAAAAACTCACAATATTATTCAACTTTTTTTAAACCCCTTAAACTTGTTAATTTAATTAAATACCCCTAAATATTTTTTTTAGAAATTGTAAAAACACCCCAGCAACCCACATTTATCAGATTCCGGCCACCACTACCAGAAGATGGCCGGAATCTGGTAAAACGGCGTATTACCAGCTGAATCTGACCTGTAGTGCACCGATCTAGCCTTTTTCGGCCAGATCCACCGTGGATCTGGCTGGAAAAGGCCAAATCTAAGGCCAAAGATCTGGCCGTTGACGACCAGATCTTTGGTCATAGCCAGTTGTCAACGACGGCCAACATATGGTCGTTGTTGACCATCAACAATGACCATATGTTGGCTGTCATTGACGAGCAAATACGGCCAGATCTGGCCGTTAATGGTCAGATCTAGCCGTAGATCTGGCCTTTTCCGGGCAGATCTACTGTGGATCTGGCTGAAAAAGGTCATATCGGCGCATGACTAGCAAGATCCAACCGGTCATGTACCGATACCGCCACTCCGGCCACCCTCCGGCGGTGGTGGCCGGCTGTCATATGTTTTGGGTGGGTTGGGGGTTTTTTTGTTAACTTTTAATGTTTTATTATAGGGTGTTTAGTAAATAAATAAATATAGGGGATATTTTTATTAATTTTCAAATCTTACATCGTAATATCGGCACAATTCAACTTTTTTTAACATTTTTCACAAAACTTTTCTAAAAAGTGTAAAAAAGTGAACCAAACGGAGCCTCCATGTCTGGTTCTTTCCTTTTGTTTGATTATAATTTACAGAGCTTATAATTAATTAATGAAGACTCTGGTTTCCTCTTTTATTTCCCTCTCAAGTCTCAACAATGGTGTGTTCGTAGACCTTAATCCATAAGGTTAATTAATTTACTTCCCTATAAAAAGCCACCTCACCCACCAAACAAATCACCGCTAGCTACCTCTGGGCTCTCTTCATTAATTTTTCAGCACAATGGTCCGCCTTAACGAGTCCATTGAGTGCTTAATCACCTTCTGCTCCACCATTCTTTTTATTGTCTCTTTCACCTTGTCTCTATATTTTTCCCTGCATGGTGGCAAGGGCTGCAGATTCTCTCTTGCTAACCCGTTACTTATTACGAGTTTCTTCCTAATTGCAGTGGCTTTTCTGGGATTCTGTTCACCTTTCTCAACCATCAACTCCATTGTTTACTTGATTTTGTTGTTCTTCTCCATTGTTTCCTTTGCCATCTTCCTTGTTTATTTAATTCCTATCACTCATGCTCCGGCGACCAAAGCTTCACCGGAGTTGGGGTCTAAAGAACAGCATCTCGGGGATTATTCAAATTTTTTAAAAAACCTGTTCGTGAATGACGAGTCTGACTGGCATGATATCTTGATTTCTTGCGTAATTAGAACTCAGGTGTGCACCAATCTTGCTGGGCACAGTAAACTTCAGACGGGCGCTGCTTTTTATAAGAAAAATTTGTCTCCTATAGAGGTAAAAATTCTATTAACTTTCTCATATTGCCATCTCCTATTTATTATATGTTATTGAAAATTCTTAAACGTAAGCATCTAAATTTTTTGAGTTAACGGCTTTTTCCCACCCAAATAATATGTTAATGACACTTTAATTCTCATTCACGGACTTTTAAAATACAATTTTGTTATCCAAATTTATATTTTAATGGCAAACAGAAAGCAAACTTGATCCAGACTATTAGGGATTTTGAAAAGAGGAGGTTGATGAGTCTTTTGATGGTGAAATATTAGATTTCGGTGGTTAAGATTAATTGGAATTTGACTTGGGAGGGACGGATGCGTAAACCTTAATCACTCGATTGGCGGGGTTGATGGAAGTAAGGTTTGAAGGGTTTTGGTGAGTGATAATTGGGAAAGAGAATGGTGATGGTGTGAGGTCTCAACGATGTCAGAATTGGAAACAGAATCTAAATTTGGGTAATAAAGTGGTATTTTAAAAGTCTATAGGTAATCATTATTTGGTTGGAAAAAAGTAGTTTACTCAAATATTTTTAATATACGGACGTGAGCGTTTAGTCAATGACTTTTGATTGCAGAATTTGTGAAGTGAACGACTAAATTTCTAGATGTTCATATTAGAGAATAACTTTGTGGGGGTGTTTGGTTGGGGGTAATGTGAGAATACTAGAATTATGTTATCTTATATTATTTGATTACCACCATTGGTTGTCAAGTAATATAAAATTTCAATAATATTCAAATACCAATAGTAGTTACTGTTGGTAATATTTGACATAATCTGATTACCTTTATTTTTTAAGTATTCTAAGATTACCAAGGTAATTTTTTTGTTTTGTTACAATTCTATCATTTATTAATAAAACTTTAGGACAATAATGCCCTTATTTTTAAAATTTATTTACATGAATATGGTTTTTACAATTTCACCGCAATTAATTAACTTTTTTGACAAAATTACCCTTGAATTCAAAACAAATTGCAGCTCACCCAAGCCACCTGCCGCCGACAACCATCGTCGCGGCCAGCCGTTGCTACAGCCAGAACGGCGCACGAAAGGCCGAAAATGACCTCCATACGCCGATATGGCCATTTTTCGCTAGATATTTGGCCGAAAATGGCCAAATCGTGCCAGATCTGGTTGTCAACGGCCATCGATCTAGTCGTTGACTGCCAGATCGACAGATCTCTGGCCGTCAACTGCCAGATTTGTCACGTTTGGCCATTTCCGGCTAGATCTCTGGCCAGAAATGGCCATACGGCGGACGGAGGCCATTTCCTGCCTTCCGTGCATCGTTAGGTTGCTGGCGACCGACAGTGGCTGGGTTGGTGATGGTACTTTGTTGATTTTCCAAACTTTTATTATAGTGTTGTTTTTATTAAGTTTTTAAATGCAGGGGGTTATAATAATCCAAATAATAATCGGTATTAAAAAATAATATAATAATAATATTTAATTATAGGATAATTCAATAATTTAAATAACATACCCACCAATTTAGTCCTCCCAACCAAACATATTAATATAATATACCCATCAATTAACCAAACACATTTTTCTAAAGATTCCTAGTAATCTTCAAGATAATCTAATTTTCCAGTAATCCAACATTCCAAGTAATCTAACATTCCTTGAACCAAACCCCCCTATGTATCATTATGTGTATTAAAATTTTGATTTTGGTGTTGTTTCAGTCGGGTTGTTGCAGACCACCGATTGAGTGCAGGTTTGATTATGTGAACGCCACATTCTGGACAGCACCAGCGTCAGGCGCGGCGGTGTATGACAGCGACTGCTTCAATTGGAGGAATGAGCAAAAGACGTTATGTTATAACTGCGATTCGTGCAAGGCTGGGGTTCTTGAATATGCCAGAAAAGACTTGAGAATTTGGGCTATAGTCAACCTAGTTCTTGTTCTCTTTCTCTTCAGCGCCTGGTTAGCATTGCTGTTTTCATTGGGAGAAGAAGAAGAAACTTTAGAATTACATTAACATTAATGCATTGCGATATAGACGATTGATGGAAAAAAAATTCTCCTGACTTAGTTAATGAATTTGCCTGTTTAGTGTTTTCTTCTTCCTATTTGAAATATAATTTACAGAACCTTTTTATTTTTATTTCTTTAATGAAAAGCTCCCAGAATCAAATTGTATCCTAGGAAGTATATATTACGATAATTAACTCATCTCAAAATATTAATCCTTTCAATTACTTGGCTTTACGTTATTTTGACATCTTTAATCAAAATTTTCAAATCCGCAACTAATTCAATATTCTAAACTAACCTCTTCGCCTGTGACCGAATGACAAACCCTTTGGCTATTAAGATTAGCTATATCTAGGGGGTCTTGTGTTTGAGTCGCAAGAGAGATACCCATCACATAATTTGAGCAATTACCTTGGTTCATTAAGGTTGTAGGGTGTTCCGTGGCTTTGAGGATTAGGCAGACTTCAATATGGGCCTAGATACCTTAGTTACCTAAAAAATATTTGGTTTCGTTTGGTACACTACTCTCACCCTATCCTATTCCATTATCTTATCCTAAAAAATAAAAAATGTGTTTGTTTTAATATTCTTCAAAATCCATTCATATTCTATTCAACTAAAACTATTTAACAATTACCTTTTTAAATAAAAGTTTTAATATTAACAAAAAGACCCCCATCCACCCAACTTTTTGCCGGTAGTTGGCCACCATTACCGGACGGTGGCCGGAAGTCACTGGAATGATGCACGATCGACTGGATTTATACCCTCCTTACGTTTTAAGTTTTTTGGACAAGTTTTACAAATTTATCCCTAAATGAAAAGTAAATTAAAAAAAAAAATCTCTAATCCGTCAAATAAGTTAAATCCTCATTTTTCTTTTTGCATGGTCAAAAGTAAACCCCTCGTTCTCTACTTCCTAGACAAGTTCTTTCTCTATTACTCATAACTAATTCAACAACCTAGGTTTCAAATTTTTCCTAAATTTTTAATTTTTTATCCACACAAATATAGTTTTGTCCCACTTATTAAGTCGACAAACCTCTTTTTTCTTCAATTTGTGTTTATTTTAATTTAAAATTATATTATTCTTCCAACTTTAACCCCCTACATTTCATTTCTGGCTAAGCCCCTAAGTGGGAGCATGCAGCAAGGTGAAAAAAAGTTAAATGTAAAGAAAGACAAAAATTCTAAAACTTTTTTTTTCGTGAAAAATCTATGCAAAATAGTCAAACCTTTAAGCCCCTGTTTGTTTCACTCTTTTGAATTATTTTTCTGTTATCCTATTTGAATAAAAAAACAGAATATATGTTTGTTTACTTATTGGGATCATTATTCTGAAAATTAATCTAAATCAAATAAGATTTTTTCTATTGAAAATTAATCCACCCAAGACCACCACCGCCTGCCAGCAACCACCATCGACTACCGTCGTTACTGCCGATGGTCACTGTCGGCGTCAAAATGATGCACGACCGGTCGTATGCCGATCTGGCGGTTTCCAGTTAGATCTACAGTCAGAGATCTGACCGTTGACGACCAAATTTGGCTGTTAACGGCCAAATCTATTTGGCCATCATTGACGGCCAGGTTTTGGCCATTTTCGACCAAATCTACGATGGATTTGGTTGGAAAATGTTATATTGGTGCACGACCGGCCAAATCCAGCTAGTCGTGCACCATTCTTACGACTGCTGGCTGCCGTCCAGCGGTGGTGGCCGATTGTCCCATTTGATGGTTGGGGTGTTTTTATTAATTTTTAAAGTTTTATTGTGAGGGGTGTTTAGCTAAATTAACAAATATAGGGGATTAAAATAATCTAAATATTTTCAGAAAATGTTTCTAAAAATGTACCAAACAATTATTCAGCATTTTATCCAACTCTGATATAATTTTCAGATATTATACTAAACGTATTCTTAAAATCTTATCCTATTCGATTTAGTCTAACTCAACTCAATTTAAAATAATTGTTCAGAATAACATTTTTCAAATAATCTATTAAACAGGCTAGATTTTATGATCCTATTTCATCCCCGTCAATTCCCTAAACAGCCCCATTCAGTAATTAACCGCTGCACACAATTACCTTTTTTTTCTCCTGTGAATTATGTTTACAAGTTCCATTTTTGGTTCTTTAATTAATTTGCTTCCCTATAAAAGCCACCTCAGCCACCAAACAAATCGCCGCTAGCTACCTCTGAGCTCTCTTCATTAATTTTTCAGCGCAATGGTCAGTCTTAACAGCTCCATTGAGAGCTTAATCACCTGCTGCTCCATCATTCTTTCTACTGTCTCTTTCGCCTTGTCTCTATATTTTTTCCTGCATGGTGGCAAGGGCTGCAGATTCTCTCTTGCTACCCCGTTACTTATTACGAGTTTCTTCCTAATTGTAGTGGCTTTTCTGGGATTCTGTTCACCTTTCTCAACCATCAACTCCATTGTTTACTTGATTTTGTTGTTCCTCTACATTGTTTCCTTTGCCATCTTCCTTGTTTATTTAATTCCTATCACGCATGCTCCGGTGACCAAAGCTTCACCGGAGTTGGGGTCTAAAGAACAGCATCTCGGGGATTATTCAAATTTTTTAAAAAACATGTACATGAATGACAAGTCTGACTGGCATGACATCTTCTTTTCTTGCGTAATTAGAACTCAGGCGTGCACCAATCTTGCTGGGGACAGTAAACTTCAGACGGCCGCTGATTTTTATATGAAAAATTTGTCTCGTATAGAGGTAAAAAAATTCTATAAATTTTCTCATATTGCCATCTCCTATTTATTATATATTATTGAAAATTCTTAAACGTAAAAGTCTCAAATTTTTTTAATACACAGATCAGTGAGCGTTTAGTCGCTGACTTTTGATTGCGGAATTTGTGCAGTGAAGGACAAAATTTCTGGATGTTCATAGTAGAGAATAATTATATGTATCATTATGTGTATTAAAATTTTGATTTTGGTGTTGTTTCAGTCGGGTTGTTGCAAACCACCGATTGGGTGCAGGTTTGAGTATGTGAACGCCACATTCTGGACGGCAACGGCGTCAGGCGCGGCGGTGTATGACAGCGACTGCTTCAATTGGAGGAATGAGCAAAAGACGTTATGTTATAACTGCGATTCGTGCAAGGCTGGTATTCTTAAATATGCCAGAAAAGACTTGAGAATTTGGGCTATAGTCAACCTAGTTCTTGTTCTCTTTCTCTTCAGCGCCTGGTTAGCATTGCTGTTTTCATTGGAAAAAAGAAACTTTAGAATTACATTAACATTCATGCATTGCGATATAGACGATTGATGGAAAAAAAAATTCTCCTGACTTAATTAATGAATTTGCCTGTTTAGTGTTTTCTTATTCCTATTTGAAATATAATTTACACAACCTTTTTATTTTTATTTCTTTAATGAAAAGCCCCCCCGAATCAAATGGTATATATCCTAGAGAGTATATATATTATGATAATTAACTCGTCTCAAAATATTAATCCTTTCAATTACTTGGCTTTAAATTATTATGACAACTTTAATCAAACTTTTTAGATCGGCAACTAATTCAATATTATAAACTAACCTCTCCCTTTGTGATCAGTAGTATTTACTATACTTAGAGGGTTTTGTATTCGAGCTGCATGGGAGGTGCCTATCACATAATTTGTGCAATTATTTTGGTCTATTGGGCTTGTAAGGTGTTCCGTGACCCTAAGGATTAGACAGATTGTAATATGGGCCTAGATATCTTAGTTACCTTATATATATATATAACCGAGGGTATCTAAGCTAGCTTATGTACATCTCAATTAATCCACCGGAACCCTGAAACTACCGGTCGAGGGTGAGCTCTCATTTAAAAATATTTATCCTTTCAATTACTTGCCTTTACATTATTTTGACATATTTAATCAAACTTTTCAACTCCGCTACTAATTCAATATTCTAAACTAATTTTCACAAGTATTTGATTATCAAAGTTATTTAAACACATCTCAATATAATTAATCATCAATGAAATAGAATCTAATAACTTCATTTCTCAAATATAATAAAATCAAACATTATTATTTCATATCTCAAAAACAAAACAAAAAGATCAGTCTAAACCATGCTATATAATTAAACTTAAAACAATACTAAAATATTATTTAAATTTAGATAATTATCTTAATAATACATACTGTTTGGTCTTTTAGAAAGAAATTTAATAAAATACACAAATCAAAATTTGACTTTTATGTGAAAAAAATATTGTTTTAGAATTAGAGAGAGAGAATTAGGAGAAAAGAGAAAAAAAAAAAAAAAAAAAAAATCATGCAGAAACTGAAGAAAGATGAAAGAAAACTTAAGGGTTGTGGTGTAACCTTTTCAATATTTTAGGATATATTAATATATTAAAAGTGTAAGGGGTATTTGGTAAAACTTTAGAATTTTTTTTTTTTCAAAAATCTAAGCGGGATACAGCTGGGCCTAGCCCACTCTGTGTTCCACCCTTGGCCCTTGCCGTGATTAAAACTGTATTGAGTTGGTATTAGCAGCCCAATAGTACACCAAAAACCAGTGGAGTACTGTCTACAAAAGTAACAAAACCGAACCTTCAAATCCAAACAGAAGTAAAACGGTAGTCACCAATTTGTGGTAAGATAAAACCGTTTTCGGTTGAAAACTAGTAGCCTTATATTAGAAAAATTACGAGCGACGGACTATCTTTATTTATTTATTTATTTTTTTTAAGAAATATCATTAATATGGGAAGATAAGTTTTTGTTTATTATTGTTATATATTAGCAGATTCTTTAAAAAAAGAATATAATAATAATAATTTTTTTTTTTAGAAATATCATTAATATGGGAAGATAAGTTTTTGTTTATTATTGTTATATATTAACAGATTCTTAAAAAAAAGAATATAATAATAATAATAAGAATAAACGACTTTTTACCACCTAAGGTTTGCCTTAATGAGCTTTCCCATCTAGAAAGTTTTAAAACACCATTTTTTTAGTCAAAGTTAAT